GGAGATCAGATACCCCCCTTCCCCTGAAACACACACATGCTGGTCCCCCATTGTGACCATTTTCCCAAGCATCTCTGTGCAGTCAGACCTTCGATTATTTTGTGTCACCAGGGCCACAATAATTTGCCCCCCTCTCTGATTGTCCGAGTGTGACCTCCTCCCCATGGGTTACTGCAGCCAGTGTTGCCAGCACTGCCACTACCTGGGTGGGGGCACCCCACCGGACTCCCCTCCGGCTAGGTACAAGGTCGTCAAGGTTCTCATTAGCAGCTTTGAGAATTTCCTTGTATATTATGCTCTCCCATCAGGGGGCTCTGGCTTTGTAGGACCAACCCTGCCAGGCAGGCTCAGAATCTAGAGGGGGCGGTGCTGCTTTAATGGGTCTCTGACCACATTTATCTTTCTGTTTTGGCTGCATATAGGCTACTTACAGTAGGCCCATTAAACAGATAAGGACTTCTCCTTAGTGTGTGGGTCGCTCAGGTGGGTGTCTAGGGTATAGGGTTGGGGACCGTTCAACTATATTTATAATTTATTTTAAAACGTATATCCCATATCTGCACAAAATTGAAACTCTCACAACCCCTGCTCGCAGACACACATGGGCTCTGGGATTTGCAACCATTTTCCCTTTTCACTCACTTAACTCCACACTTTTCCAAACACAAAAACACACACCTCACCTTTCAACACAATACACCCGCACATACCCACATACCGTGCCTTCTATGTCCTCTGTTTGCTGTGTTTTTATCCCTACCATGTTGATTCTGAGTACTTTTGTGTTCCAGTTTCTTATATTTGAAGATGTATTATTTAGCTAATTATTCTTTATTTTAATGCTGTCTTATCTATTTATAAAATACTATAAATAGAAAGTAAAATATAAATTATTTGACAACATTCTCTATCTTGAATGGTATAGTTGTAGTTTATTTCTTTATCAATTGTTGTAGTTTATTGTTTTCCTATATATATTTTTTATTACAATCCCTACCATGGATAGTATTGTGTTCCATTATTCGACTCCTCTATGGGAACTTTGTATTATTTAGAATAGCCATGGAGTAGTCTTGGTGTCTCAGAAGATTTGGTTATCAATATACAGTTTATTGACTATGAGAGCTACACGTTTCCCTTTTAATCTATTCTCCATGAAGAGTGGTTACAGAACTTTGTGCCGTTCTGCAATTTCCTTCAGGAACTGATCATTCATTCCTATTTCTGTGGCAGCAAGTTTTGTACCCAGGCTTTTAACCATTATTTTATCTTTGAAGAATGCAAATTTGGCAGTGATTGGGCACTCATATCTCTGTCCTCTCTGTCTGAAACAGTGTACACGTTCGAGTTGGATTTTGTCGACAGCATCGCCTGGGATCTGTAGCGCTTTAAGAAATAATTTTGTTCACCACACTTTTAGGGTCTTCGCCCTATTTTTCTTTGATACCAGTAAGTACCAGATTTTCTCTAATAGATCTAGTCTGTATGTCAAGTAAGGCTTCTCTCAGAAACATGTTCTCCTTTTTAAGTTCATTAACATCTGTTTCAATCTCATTGACTGTACCTTTTAGCTTGTTTGTTTCTTTCTCTGTTGTTGCAGCTTTTTCGTCACTCATCTTGATGCTCGCCTTCAACTACTTTATATCTTTACTGACTAATTCAAGTATGCCCAGTTGATCATTTATCGATTTTAACAGATCGGTTTCCACCCTTACCATTCCCGGTGGTGAAAAGCATAAATCGTCTGTCTGTCGAGGAGTTGCGTTTTCTTTTGGGGATTGGTTCTCCATGTTTACCCTCTGTCATTTGGGTGTTAATTGTTTTGGTAATATTGGTCGATACATTTCTCTAGCCTTATAATTTGTTTTGTATTATTATCCAGATTGAAGGTTATTACCCACGAATGTGTGGAGTGAAGTGCTAATATTTAAACTTACGTTTTTATCTGCACCGCTGTGTTCAGTCCGCCATCTTACTTCACCCATGTTAAGTTCTTAGTGATGTGGACAACAAGGAACTTGAAGCTCTCGACCCGCTCCACAATAGCCCCGTCGATGTGGATGGAGGCGTGCTCTCCCCTCTTTCTCCTATAGTCCACGATCAGCTCCTTGGTCTTACTGATGTTGAGGGAGAGGTTGTTGTCCTGGCACCACACTGCTAAGTCTCTGACTTCCTCCCTGTAGACTGTCTTTTCGCCGTCGGTGATCAGGCCTACCACCGTTGTGTCGTCAGCAAACTTGATGATGGTGTTAGAATCATGCGTGGCCACACAGTCGTGGGTGAACAGGGAGTACAGTAGGGGACTAAGCACACACCCCTGAGGGGCCCCCGTGTTGAGGGTCAGTGTGGCGGAGGTGTTGTTGCCTACCCTCACCACCTGTGGCCGGCCCGTCAGGAAGTCCAGCATCCAGTTGCAGAGGGAGGGGTTCAGTCCCAGGGACCCTAGCTTGGTGATGAGTTTGGAGGGGACTATTGTGTTGAATGCTGAGCTGTAGTCTATGAAGTGTGGTTCTCTGTAGCTCAGCTGGTAGAGCACGGCGCTTGTAACGCCAAGGTAGTGGGTTCGATCCCCGGGACCACCCATACACAAAAAAAAATGTATGCACGCATGACTGTAAGTCGCTTTGGATAAAAGCGTCTGCTAAATGGCATATTATATATATTATTATAACAGCCTTCTCACATAGTTATTTCCCCTCTTGTCCAGGTGGGAGAGGGCAGTGTGAAGTGCAATTGAGATTGTGTCATTTGTGGATCTGTTGGGGTGGTATTTGAATTGGAGTTGGTCTAGGGTGTCTGGGATGATTGTGTTGATGTGTGTTATGACCAACCTTTCAAACCACTTCATAATTACAGATGTGCGTGCCACAGGGCGATAATCATGTAGGCAGGTTACCTTGGAGCTGTTGGGAACAGAGACAATGGTGGTCAGCTTGAAACATGTTGGGGTTACAGACTGGGACAAGGAGAGATTGAAAATGTCTGTGAAGACACTTGCTTTGAGAACGCGCCCTGGTATTTAGTCTTCTGATTGTTAACCTCTTTAAACGTTTTGCTCATATCGGCCACAGAGAGCGAGATCACACAGTCATCTGGCGCAGGAGACGTGTTGGTAGAAGTGAAGTGGTGTAATTGGCTAAACTGTTATTTACTCATTGATCTGCAACCAAACGCATTTGAATGCACCCAAATACTCTCACACAACAGTCGATCAGCTATCCAGCTCAAAGGGCTGACGTCACTATCAGCAGAGATGCTATTTAGTGTGAATGATGCAATGCTCACCTACTCATTTATCGGCCACATGGTGTTTGGGACAATTCAGGGCTGTCACACTGTGCTCTGTGCGCTGAGCTGGTCAATTAATACAAATGATGTATCTAGCCACTAAAACCGTTGTTACCCTGGCCTTAGTGTGATGGCCCATGCTGTTAGTGACCACAGTGTCACACTGAGTATGTCTGTTGACCAGCAGAGACAGCCTTAGTCATGGTGGTCACAGCTGGTCACGGGGACAGAAAAGTGACCAGTGACTCTCTGGCCAGTTATCCACTCTAATAAATATAGTATTTTAGGACAAGTTTTATGTGTATGAGATGATTGCATGTGTGTATGCTTGTTGTGTTGTGTGTTGATGTGTACATTTGTCTTCGTCTTAGTGTGTGCGTATTTGTCTTGATATTCATCTGTGTGTGTGTGTGTGTGTGCGATCTCCTCTGTTAGCCCACCTTCCACTCTGGAAGGTGACCAATGCCCCTGTCCCTGGCCAGTCATCCAGTCCTCTGGAAGGTGGCCAATGCCCCTGTCCCTGGCCAGTCATCCAGTCCTCTGGAAGGTGACCAATGCCCCTGTCCCTGGCCAGTCATCCAGTCCTCTGGAAGGTGGCCAATGCCCCTGTCCCTGGCCAGTCATCCAGTCCTCTGGAAGGTGACCAATGCCCCTGTCCCTGGCCAGTCATCCAGTCCTCTGGAAGGTGGCCAGTGCCCCTGTCCCTGGCCAGTCATCCAGTCCTCTGGAAGGTGACCAATGCCCCTGTCCCTGGCCAGTCATCCAGTCCTCTGGAAGGTGGCCAATGCCCCTGTCCCTGGCCAGTCATCCAGTCCTCTGGAAGGTGACCAATGCCCCTGTCCCTGGCCAGTCATCCAGTCCTCTGGAAGGTGGCCAATGCCCCTGTCCCTGGCCAGTCATCCATTTCTCTGAATGGCCTCCTGTAGCTCAGTTGGTAGAGCATGGCGCTTGCAACGCCAGGGTTGTGGATTCGATTCCCACGGGGGGCCAGTAATGAAAAATGTATGCACTCACTAAAAACTGTAAGTCGCTCTGGATAAGAGCGTCTGCTAAATGACTAAAATGTAAAATGAATGGTGGCCAATGCCCCTGTCCTTGGCCAGTCATCCATTCCTCTGAATGGTGGCCAATGCCCCTGTCCCTGGCCAGTCATCCATTCCTCTGAATGGTGGCCAATGCCCCTGTCCCTGGCCAGTCATCCAGTCCTGTGTCCAGTGTCCTGCAGCCAGCCAGTGGGCAGGGCCGTCAGTGATACTCACTTACCAGACTGACTGACTGACTTACTCACTCATAAGGCCTCCATTGTGCTCCCTACTGCAGGATCGGGTCTCTACTCAACCCATCATTCAACAACAGACACTCTTTATGACGGAGACATTTTGGTTCCTGTTTCTTACCAGGCGCTGATTCCACTATGTTCTAACTGTATTTTTCAAAATACAATTTATCAGTAAAAAAAGACTGTGTTCTTGGCAAAAGTGAGAGTTTGAATTAATAATGTATATTTTCAGTAAAGCCTATAAAGAACAGTCTGTTAATTTACACCCTGCTCCATCAAGTGCACTCAATCACAGAATCAATGTTTCTCCATGTATGTGGAATGTGATTTGCTTGCTCTCCACAGAACCTCTCTATTTGAACTCACTAAGAATTTTCAAATATGTTTGGCTGAATCAGTTTCTGAGTGGGTGGATCTAAAGTGTCTTTATAGTCGGGGCCAAGATGTGATCTACATCAGCCTCACAGATGAAACGTCTCCCTTTCTCTCCCCACTCTTCCTTCCCTCTCTCCCTCTCTTTCATTATCTCTCTGTCACTCACTCACTCACTCACTCACTCACTCACTCACTCACTCTAGACGTCCGTGCTGCCAGGGAGCAGATGCACATTGGAGGAGTGGCCTATCCCACGCTGCCCCTGCAGGACATCCCAGCCCGCGTCCCCTCCTCTTTCGGCCAGCACTCGGCTGCCTGCTCCCCCACGGGCTCCTACGTTGGTTCCCTGCCCCCCCCAGGGCTGGTGCCCTCCCAGCCCCACAGCAGTTACTACAGCATGCCTGCCCCCCAGCACCCCTTCTACACCCGGGTGAGACGTCAACACAACACAGCAGCAGACAGGCAAATGACTGCGCCTGAACCTAGCGCAGTACACATTCATTTAGTATACAGTAGAGTAGCCAAAGTTTGTTCAACGTACTTCAGGATACTGTACCTTTAGTATGAAGAGAATCCCAGTGCAGTTGAACCTACCTCAGTTTACCTTCGCATACACACAGGACTTAAGTGATGGTTACTTACCTCTGTTTGTTCATGTGACTGCACAGCTACCTCAGTGCACTGACCTCACAAGACAGGGCTGTTTACTCACTTAACCTAATTTTAAATGTGACAGTGCCAACCTCAACTCTAAAAAAGGATTCTTCACAGTTCTGGGGTTACTGCAGAAATACACTGAGTGTACCAAACATTAGGAACACCTTCCTAATATTGAGTTGCACACAAACCGGTGTGCCTGGCATCCCTGTAGCTCAGTTGGTAGAGCATGGTGCTTGCAACGCCAGGGTTGTGGGTTCGTTTCCCACAGGGGGCCAGTATGACAATGTATGCACTCACTAACTGTAAGTCGCTCTGGATAAGAGCGTCTGCTAAGTGACTAAAATGTTTTTTTAAATGATCATAGCTTCCACCTAGATTCACCTGGACAGTCGGTCATGGAAAGAGCAGGTGTTCCTGATGTTTTATACACTCAGTGCATGCATATGAATGGTCCCTCATACAATCCCCATGTTTTAACCATTCTCCATATTCATCCTTTCTCTCTCCCTGGTTTCCATATAGCCTTATTTCCCCCATCATGTGTATCACCAACCCCGGCATCAATACAGCTCCCATCATCACCCTACCCTGACCCAGTCACGCCCCTCCTTTAAAGCAGGCTACCCAAGGGACCCCAATGGGCTTGTAAGTACAGAGTTGCCTGTCAGTAGTACACCTAGCACTAGTAGCTAGTCATTAGATAGTAGTTATAGTAACAGTTTGTTTGTAGCGTTAGTGGTTAAGCGCCGATTACTTTTACAATTGTTTTGATTCTGATTCTGTTTGACAATGTCATTTGTGTAACACGTGTTCACCTTTCTACATTTTCTCAAACATTTTATTTTCCTCCCATAAAGTAAAATGGCCCGTTTCTCTCTGTGTTCTTCATTCCGATTAATACGATCCCGTTAATGCAGCATCAGTGGGTCAGCAGTAGGTCTCTGTCTGTCTTCAGGTCCGTTGTGTAAGCTTGCATGACATGAACCCCTCTCCTCCATCCTCCTTTCACTCTCCAAGGAGTTTGTGTAGGCATGTGTTTTTTACCCCACTATACACCCCAATGTAATTTTGCTCCAACCCTAGTTTAGGTTATTCCTATATCTATTGCCCCTTTACCCACCCCGTGCCCCGTTCTGTGCCCATGTCAGGATGTAATTGCTGAGGATCCCAGAGAGGGCCTCCCCTCCCCCACTACCACTGACCCCCCTATGGTAACACAACAGGCTGGTGTGGAGCGTTGGCATTAGCTAGAGCATATGTGTCCTTTCATCTTGACTGTTACGACTCGCCACACACAAACTCACCAAAAAGCTATGCACTCACACACATGGCTAACCTTGTCCATCGACCAGATACACTGACATGGTTTGGAAAGCTGACCGGGTATGTCAGTGTCAATGTCATGTCTGCACCAGTGGCTCCCCTGGTTGTGGCCTGCTCCGGAGCAAAGTGCAATAGCTCAGTGCTGTTTGAATGTGAGTCTCATTGTCCAGGAGGGAACTAACCACCATGCGAGTGCGCCTGCTACCATTCTATATCTGCATGTATAGGTTGCATGTTCATATAGGACTAGTTCACAGGAAGGTTGAAGTAAGTAAAGATGAATGGCGGTGCAGAGTTTCCCCTAGGATTTTTTTCAGCAGTGGTGGCAGAGATAGTGGGGGGTGGGGATTGGGATCTTCCCTTGTTTTTGCAGTGGCGGCCATGATTTAGCAGTGCCGGTGCGCCACTGCTAGATGCACATAGGGGAAACACTGATTATGTAATCACATGGTAATCAGTCATAGGGGAAACACTGATGATGTAATTACATGGTAATCAGTCATGGGGGAAACACTGATGTAATTACATGATAATCAGTCATAGGGAAACACTGATGATGTAATTACGTGGTAATCAGTCATAGGGGAAACACTGATGTAATTACATGGTAATCAGTCATAGGGGAAACACTGATGTAATTACATGATAATCAGTCATAGGGAAACACTGATGATGTAATTACATGGTAATCAGTCATAGGGGAAACACTGATGTAATTACATGGTAATCAGTCATAGGGGAAACACTGATGTAATTACATGATAATCAGTCATAGGGAAACACTGATGATGTAATTACATGGTAATCAGTCATAGGGGAAACACTGATGTAATTACATGGTAATCAGTCATAGGGAAACACTGATGATGTAATTTACGTGGTAATCAGTCATGGAGATACACTGATGATGTAATTACATGGTAATCAGTCATAGGGGAAACACTGATGTAATTACATGGTAATCAGTCATAGGGAAACACTGATGATGTAATTACATGGTAATCAGTCATGGGGAAACATTGTTGATGTAATTACATGGTAATCAGTCATGGAGATACACTGATGTAATTATGTGGTAATCAGTCATAGGGGAAACACTGATGTAATTACATGGAAATCAGTCATGGAGATACACTGATGATGTAATAACGTGGTAATCAGTCATGGAAATACACATTATAAATGGGCCAATGTCTCAGTTTAGCTTTCCTTTGGTAAGTGCAGCATATCGTGTCTGACTGAACTCGTTACCATTGAAGCCCAACAGGACTAATATAGCCTCTCTGTCCCTACTGACCATTCCATGTCTCTCCATCCCCATTACCCTCTGTATCCCACCAGAGCTTCTCTATATATCCCTCTCATACTCTCTCCTCTCTATTGGTCTGTGGGTATATATACAGTTGAAGTTGGAAGTTTACATACACTTAGGTTGGAGTCATTAAAACTAGTTTTTCAACCACTCCACACATTTCTTGTTAACAAACTATTGTTTTGGCAAGTTGGTTCGGACATCTACTTTGTGCATGACACAAGTAATTTTTCCAACAATTGTTTACAGACAGATTATTTAACTTATAATTCACTGTATCACAATTCCAGTGGGTCAGAAGTTTACATACAATAAGTTGACTGTGCCTTTAAACAGCTTGGAAAATTCCAGAAAATGATGTAATGGCTTCTGAAGCTTCTGATAGGCTAATTGACATCATTTTTAGACCTCCACAAGTCTGGTTCATCCTTGGGAACAATTTCCAAACGCCTGAAGGTACCACGTTCATCTGTACAAACAATAGTACGCAAGTACACTGCTCAAAAAAATAAAGGGAACACTTATACAACACAATGTAACTCCAAGTCAATCACACTTCTGTGAAATCAAACTGTCCACTTAGGAAGCAACACTGATTGACAATAAATGTCACATGCTGTTGTGCAAATGGAATAGACAACAGGTGGAAATTATAGGCAATTAGCAAGACACCCCCAATAAAGGACTGGTTTTGCAGGTGGTGACCACAGACCACTTCTCAGTTCCTATGCTTCCTGGCTGATGTTTTGGTCACTTTTGAACGCTGGCGGTGCTTTCACTCTAGTGGTAGCATGAGACGGAGTCTACAACCCACACAAGTGGCTCAGGTAGTGCAGCTCATCCAGGATGGCACATCAATGCGAGCTGTGGCAAGAAGGTTTGCTGTGTCTGTCAGCGTAGTGTCCAGAGCATGGAGGCGCTACCAGGAGACAGGCCAGTACATCAGGAGACGTGGAGGAGGCCGTAGGAGGGCAACAACCCAGCAGCAGGACTGCTACCTCCGCCTTTGTGCAAGGAGGAGCAGGAGGAGCACTGCCAGAGCCCTGCAAAATGACCTCCAGCAGGCCACAAATGTGCATGTGTCTGCTCAAACGGTCAGAAACAGACTCCATGAGGGTGGTATGAGGGCCCGACGTCCACAGGTGGGGGTTGTGCTTACAGCCCAACACCGTGCAGGACGTTTGGCATTTGCCAGAGAACACCAAGATTGGCAAATTCGCCACTGGCGCCCTGTGCTCTTCACAGATCAAAGCAGGTTCACACTGAGCACATGTGACAGACGTGACAGAGTCTGGAGACGCCGTGGAGAACGTTCTGCTGCCTGCAACATCCTCCAGCATGACCGGTTTGGCGGTGGGTCAGTCATGGTGTGGGGTGGCATTTCTTTGGGGGGCCGCACAGCCCTCCATGTGCTCGCCAGAGGTAGCCTGACTGCCATTAGGTACCGAGATGAGATCCTCAGACCCCTTGTGAGACCATATGCTGGCAAGAGGAAGGCATTGATGCTATGGACTGGCCCGCCCGTTCCCCAGACCTGAATCCAATTGAGCACATCTGGGACATCATGTCTCGCTCCATCCACCAACGCCACGTTGCACCACAGACTGTCCAGGAGTTGCTTTAGTCCAGGTCTGGGAGGAGATCCCTCAGGAGACCATCCGCCACCTCATCAGGAGCATGCCCAGGCGTTGTAGGGAGGTCATACAGGCACGTGGAGGCCACACACACTACTGAGCCTCATTTTGACTTGTTTTAAGGACATTACATCAAAGTTGGATCAGCCTGTAGTGTGGTTTTCCACTTTAATTTTGAGGGTGACTCATAATCCAGACCTCCATGGGTTGATAAATTCGATTTCCATTGATAATTTTTGTGTGATTTTGTTGTCAGCACATTGAACTATGTAAATAAAAAAGTATTTAATAAGATTATTTCATTCATTCAGATCTAGGATGTGTTATTTTAGTGTTCCCTTAAATTTTTTGAGCAGTGTATAAACACCATGGGACCACGCAGCCGTCATATCGCTCAGGAAGGAGACGCGTTCTGTCTCCTAGAGATTAACGTACTTTGGTGCGAAAAGTGCAAATCAATCCCAGAACAACAGCAAAGGACCTTGTGAAGATGCTGGAGGAAACAGGTACAAAAGTATCTATAGCCACAGTAAAACGAGTCCTATATCGACATAACCTGAAAGGCCGCTCAGCAAGGAAGAAGCCACTGCTCCAAAACCGCCATAAATAGGCAGATACGGTTTGCAACTGCAAATGGGGACAAAGATCGTACTTTTTGGAGAAATGTCCTCTGGTCTGATGAAACAAAAATAGAACTGTTTGGCCATAATGACCATCGTTATGTTTGGAGGAAAAAGGGGGATGCTTGCAAGCCGAAGAACACAATCCCAACTGTGAAGCAAGGGGGTGCCAGCATCATGCTGTGGGGGTGCTTTGCTGCAGGAGGGACTGGTGCACTTCACAAAATAGATGGCATCATTATGGAAAATTATGTGTAGATATTGAAGCAACATCTCAAGACATCAGTCAGGAAGTTAAAGCTTGGTCGCAAATGGGTCTTCCAAATGGACAATGACCCCAAGCATTTTTTATTTAATTTTTTATTTAACCTTTATTTAACTAGGCAAGTCAGTTAAGAACAAATTCTTATTTACAATGATGGCCTACACCGGCCAAACCCGGACGACGCTGGGCCAATTGTGCGCCTCCCTATGGGATTCCCAATCACGGCCGGTTGTGATATAGCCTGGAATCGAACCTGGGTCTGTAGTGACGCTTCTAGCACCGAGATGCAGTGCCTTAGACTGCTGCGCAACTTCCAAAGTTGTGGCGAAATGGCTTAAGGACAACAAAGTCAAGGTATTGGAGTGGCCATCACAAAGCCCTGACCTCAATGCTATAGAAAATGTGTGGGCAGAACTGAAAAAGTGTTTGCGAGCAAGGAGGCCTACAAACCTGACTCAGTTACACCAGCTCTGTCAGGAGGAATGGGCCAAAATTCAATTTATTGTGGGAAGCTTGTGGAAGGCTACCCAAAACGTTTTACCCAAGTTAAACAATTTAAAGGCAAAGCAAACAAATACTAATTGAGTGTATGTAAACTTCTGACCCACTGGGAATGTGATGAAAGAAATTAAAAGCTGAAATAAATAATTCTCTCTACTATTATTCTGACATTTCACATTCTTAAAATCAAGTGGTGATCCTAACTGACCTAAAGACAGGGAATTTTTAGTAGGATTAAATGTCAGGAATTGTGAAAAACTGAGTTTAAATGTATTTGGCTAAGGTGTATGTAAACTTCCGACTTCAAATGTATAACACAGTCTGTACGTGTGTGCAGTGGGTAGCCTAGTGTAACTGCCTAGGCCTAGTTGATAGATAGCGTAGCGGCTATATCCCTATAGGGCTGGGTGAGGAGAGATTAGCATCAGAGGCTGGGGCGAGCAGCAGCACAATGAGCACAGAGCTTATCTCCTCACAGAGACGCTTCCTCCCTCTGATGCTCTCTGTTTCCCTTCTCTTCCCCGTCCCTCTGCTCTGCCCACACCCCGCACCGCTGGAATTACATCTCACACAGGGGTCTCTCTCTCTCTCACACACACACACACACACACACACACACACACACACACACACACTTGTGTGCGTATACAAACACACGCGTATACGTAATCACACACACACACAAACTGGCACAGTGTAACACACAGTCACACTTACACAGTCTGGGGGGAGGACCAGTTTTTAAAGCTTCCTCAAAATGGAAACTTCTGCTTTTCTGTGTGGGGGATATCTCTCTTTCTCTCATTTCCACTTCTCTCTCTCTCCAAACATCACACTCTGTGCTGCTCATCCTCTCTGCAAAGATTATCTTCTTAAAGCCCTCTATAAAAAATCTCTTTCATTTCCTACTGTAATAATTCTTAACTAAATGGCTTCTCAGTTTCAGTCTTTGCTAGATGGGATGCTGTAAAAGTGCCTTTGCCTGCTGTGTTTCAAGATAAATGTTTTCTTGTCTAGTCTGACATGAATGTCTCTCCTGTTCTCTTGCTTTCTATGATGACTTCAGCATGTGGCCTAATGTCCTGCTCCTATCTGTCTGTCTTTGTCTGTCTCTCGACCTCTATAAATGTCTGCCTCTGTCTCTCTCTTTCTCTGTCTCTCTGCCTCTTGTCTCTCTGCCTCTCTGTCTGCCGCTGTCTGTCTGCCTCTCTGTCTGTCTGCCTCTGTCTGTCTGCCTCTCTCTTTCTCTGTCTACCTCTGTCTACCTCTGTCTCTCTGCCTCTGTCTGTCTGCCTCTCTTTCTCCTCCCAAAGCAGTTCTTGTCTCAGCCTTTCAGACCCAAGCAGGTATACTCATCTCTTTGGACATTACCATCTCTAACTTTTTCACCACATCACTACATTTCTACCTCACTATCTTTCTACATCACTATCTTTCTACCTCACTACATTTCTACATCACTATCTTTCTACCTCACTACATTTCTACCTCACTATCTTCTACCTCACTACATTTCTACCTCACTATCTTTCTACCTCACTACATTTCTACCTCACTATCTTTCTACCTCACTACATTTCTACCTCACTGTCTTTCTACATCACTATCGTTCTACCTCACTGTCTTTCTACATCACTATCTTTCTACTCACTACATTTCTACCTCACTACATTTCTACCTCACTATCTTTCTACCTCACTATCTTTCTACCTCGCTACATTTCTACCTCACTACATTTCTACCTCGCTATCTTTCTACCTCACTACATTTCTACCTCACTATCTTTCTACCTCACTACATTTCTACATTCTACCTTACTTAATTTCTACCTCACTGCATTTCTACCTCGCTACATTTCTACCTCGCTACGTTTCTACCTCACTATCTTTCTACCTCACTATCTTTCTACATCACTATCTTCTAAGCCTCACTACATTTCTACATCACTACATTTCTACATCACTATCTTTCTACCTTACTTCATTTCTACCTCACTGCATTTCTACCTCGCTACATTTCTACCTCGCTACGTTTCTACCTCGCTACATTTCTACATCACTATCTTTCTACATCACTATCGTTCTACCTCACTACATTTCTACATCACTATCTTTCTACATCACTACATTTCTACCTCACTACATTTCTACATCACTATCTTTCTACCTCACTACATTTCTACATCACTACATTTCTACATCACTATCTTTCTACCTCACTACATTTCTACCTCACTGTCTTTCTACATCACTATCGTTCTACCTCACTACATTTCTACATCACTATCTTTCTACATCACTACATTTCTACATCACTACATTTCTACCTCACCTCCACCAACTAATATAACATGTCTTACTTTTCCCTCCCCCTGGCATGCATTAGAAACATAGACAAGAACCTCCACCCACCTTCCATATAGCCTACCTCTACATATGATATATTTAAGCAATAAGGCCCGAGGGGGTGTGGTATATGGCCAATATACCACGGCTAAGGGCTGTTCTTACGCACGACTCAACGTTGAGTGCCTGGATACAGCCCTTAGCCGTGGTATATTGGCCATATACCACAAAGCCGCAAAGGTGGTTAGCAACGTAATTAGAGCAGTAAAAATAAATAAAGACCTGTGGTATACGGTCTGATACATCACGGCTGTCAGCCAATCAGCTTTCAGGGCTCTAACCACCAGTTTATCGATAATGTAGTTGAATGTAGTTCTAGTTGAATGTACAATAGTTCTAAAATGTCTCTTAAAGGTCATCCAACGCATGTATTATGAATCCTACTTCTAGATGAATTCAATAAAACCAACCAGAAAGAAAGTTTCACTTGCCAAATTTGCGAGACCCAATTAAGGAGCATGATTTAAAATGACTGTCAGAAAGTCTTAAGAAACAGAAATCATTTGGGCTATCATTATTGAGGAGCTTTACAGTCTACAGGATAATTGCTCTCCCCGTTCTGCTCGGCTCTGTTAAGACTTATTTTCTCGAACAAGTCTCGCAGCGAAAGAGCAAGCACAGACGTCTTCTAAGCCTCAATGCCTTCTCGCCCAAGGAGGGAGGGAGGGAGGGAGGGAGGGAGGGAGGGAGGGAGGGAGAGATTTTTCCCTCTGTTAGTGGGTGGCTAGCTGGGAGGTTAGAGAGCATTAGGGGGGCGAGGGTATTGGCCACTCTTCTAGCCTCTAGGAGGAGAGCAGTGGAAGACTCTCTCTCTACAACTAGGACATGGCTCGTGTGTGTACAGTGAATGATGCACTACCATCAACAGTGTGTTCAGATTAACATACAGAGCCCATACTGTACACCTGCTGCCACTAGTTACCATGCTCCAGTGTTGTTACCTCACACCTGCTGCCACTAGTTACCATGCTGCAGTGTTGTTACCTCACACCTGCTGCCACTAGATACCATGCTCCAGTGTTGTTACCTCACACCTGCTGCCACTAGATACCATGCTCCAGTGTTGTTACCTCACACCTGCTGCCACTAGATACCATGCTCCAGTGTTGATACCTCACACCTGCTGCCACTAGTTACCATGCTCCAGTGTTGTTACCTCACACCTGCTGCCACTAGATACCAGTGTTGTTACCTCACACCTGCTGCCACTAGTTACCATGCTCCAGTGTTGTTACCTCACACCTGCTGCCACTAGTTACCAGTGTTGTTACCTCACACCTGCTGCCACTAGATACCATGCTGCAGTGTTACCTCACACCTGCTGCCACTAGTTACCATGCTCCAGTGTTGTTACCTCACACCTGCTGCCACTAGATACCAGTGTTGTTACCTCACACCTGCTGCCACTAGTTACCATGCTCCAGTGTTGTTACCTCACACCTGCTGCCACTAGTTACCAGTGTTGTTACCTCACACCTGCTGCCACTAGTAACCATGCTCCAGTGTTGTTACCTCACACCTGCTGCCACTAGTTACCATGCTCGTGTTGTTACCTCACACCTGCTGCCACTAGATACCATGCTGCAGGTGTTACCCTCACACCTGCTGCCACTAGTTACCAGCTCGTGTTACCTCACACCTGCTGCCACTAATACATGCTGCAGTGTTGTTACCTCACACGTGCTTACCACCATATTACCTGCTCCAGTTTTTGTTACTGTGTCACACCTTGCTGCCACTAGTTACCATGCTCCAGTGTTGTTACCTACACTCACATGTTCTGTACCATGCTCCAGTGTTGTTACCCTCATCACCTGCTGCCACTAGTTACCATGCTCCAGTGTTGTTACCTCACACCTGCTGCCACTAGTTACCATGCTCCAGTGTTGTTACCTCACACCTGCTGCCACTAGTTACCATGCTCCAGTGTTGTTACCTCACACCTGCTGCCACTAGTTACCATGCTCCAGTGTTGTTACCTCACACCTGCTGCCACTAGTTACCATGCTCCAGTGTTGTTACCTCACACCTGCTGCCACTAGATACCATGCTGCAGTGTTGTTACCTCACACCTGCTGCCACTAGTTACCAGTGTTGTTACCTCACACCTGCTTGCACTGACAAAAAAGGGAATAGTGTTTGTGGTTGCAGTGAATAGCTTCTACAGTGTTAACCACCGTTAATATTAACCTGGCTGTGGTTGTTGATACGTTGTTCTGTGGTTGTTGAAGCGTTGTGCTAACGGTTTGCGCTAACCGTATGAATTTGCAGTTGTTGTGTGAGCCCTGCTACGCTACCACATCAAAGGGTGATTCTGTGTGTCTGTCTCTCTGTGTCTGTGTGGATTTGTGTGTCTGTGTGGATTTGTGTGTGTGTGTGTGTGTGTGACAGGGTTCTGCCTCCGAGGTACCGGGAACCCCTGTGGTACTCCTCAGCTCTCTGAACACGGACGCAGTGTGTGAGCGCGTCAAACAGGTCGACGGCATTGACTCCAGCATGCTGGGCCAGTACACCGCCACTATCAAGAAGGTCAGGCCTGCTACACACACCGTCACACACACACACACACACACATTGCTCCCCAGTTAATACAACACCTTAGTCAATAGAGTTTATACAAAATATTCTAAATCAGTTTTGTCACTTGTATCCATTTGCTCACAAGGTTTATTTTTGTCTATCAATATCTGTATCAACTTTATATGGCTCAACAAAATGGCTAATGTGTCTGTCTGCATTGAGCAGCTTCCAGTCCATTTATAAATGATCTATAGACAAGATGTCATGAATGCCTCTAGACCACAGTCAGTCAGCCCAGCTAACAATACTTCTAGTGAGACGTTGTCTTTATGTGAAAAGTCCTCCTTGTTCAGTGAGGTACAGAACCAGAAGTATAGAAATATACGTAATACGATCTCGCCTTTTGAAAGAAGGACTCCTGTTGAAAATACATATGTTTCTCTACCCTCTCTTAGAAGGGTTTCTTGCCATCTGAAAAAATTCCATATGCCTCTACTTTTCTTTATTTGAACATATGGCCCTACTTTTCTCATATGTGCCTACTTTACTCATATGTGCCTACTTTACTAAACTTAAGCCTACTTATGCCCTAATTTATACAGTATGGGGTGGTTTCCAGGACACAGATTAAGCAGCCTAGTCCTGGAATAAAAAGCAATCTTGATTGAGAATCTCCATTGAAAGTGCTTTGTAGTCCAGGATTTGGCTTTATATGTGTCCAAACCGGCCCTATATGCCTGTATTTGATCAGTAGCGAACTTGTCTCTGCCTCTCTCTGTGTTAGGCCAATGTGAATGGCCGGGTGCTGTCTCAGTGCAACCTGGAAGAGCTGAAGAAAGAGATGAACATGAACTTTGGGGACTGGCAGCTCTTCAGAGGCATGGTAAGACAAAACCTCCATCTCCGCTCTTAAATACTCTACGTTCTTCTTTTATTGATTTGATGTGTACTTTAATATCAGCATCCAGATTTTTATTCACCGGAGTTGTGTTTTTGTGTGTAGTTTTTTTGTCTTCTTAAAATCGGGGCATCTTGAACCCTCTCTGGAGACATTGGAGGACTTTATAATCCGTATTACGAGAAAGTCTGCAGTCTGCTCCGTTCGCTCGGGGGGCTGGAATCAGGAACACATGTAGCTCGCGTTGATCAGATGTCCGTTTGAGCCTCCTTCCACAAACGAATGTTGTGTTGCCAGAACATCTGGTCCAAGATGGCTGAGATCTGGATGAAGGAAGGTTATTGTCAGTGGGAGCTGCAGTCAGCCAGTCTCCACGCAGTCGAGGGGTCTGGTTCTGAAAACTTTACGAGAAATTGCATTTACCATTTTCTCCTCCTCGGAGCACATCCCAAGCCATCTGACGTGGAGACTGGAGCACTTATCCCTACAAGCCCTGTAGAGTTGAACCGAACTTCGAGCATCACCATCAGTGGTGCCCTCTGTATTGAACTAAAATACTAGTATTTACTTTGTGTTTGTAACCTATTAAGATGATGGTGATGTTTTGGCTTCCTACAGTATCTAATGGTTATCAGGTATATTATAGATGCAGTGTTGTGTTGAGTCTATTTCTATTGGTTGTGTGTTGGCTCTATAGAGTTAGTGGTTGTATGTTGGGTTTCATAGCTAGTAGTTATTTCCTATGTTGATTCTATACCTTGTATTGTGGTGACAGGTTTGCTCTGGAACTGGTAGTATATTTGCCTGTCTAAATCATCTCTCTTCTCCCCTCTGTCTCCCAGGTGATGGAGCAGCGTCACGGGGAGGGCCAGCGTCACAGGGAGGGCCAGGCCCTGCAAGATGAGTCCCGTGCGGCCAGCGAGCAGGGAAGCAGCGTGGTCAACGTGGAGACGGCCAGGCGGCAGGGTCAGGGAGCTCCCCATGAGGTGGGCGGCTACAGCTTGAACCTCAGCTTCGAGGAGCTCAGTAACGTGGGCCTGAGCCTGGAGGAGCCCACCCAGAGACACAGAGACACTACACAGCACTGGCCCGTGGTGAGGAGTTCAGCATACACACACACACTCAGCGTGGGGAGTTGAACATGCACACATATACAGTGGGGAGAACAAGTATTTGATACACTGCTGATTTTGCAGGTTTTCCTACTAACAAAGCATGTAGAGGTCTGTACTTTTTATCATAGGTACACTTCAACTGTGAGAGACGGAAATCCAGAAAATCACATTGTATGATTTTTAAGTAAATAATTTGCATTTTATTGCATGACATAAGTATTTGATCAGAAAAGCAGAACTTAATATTTGGTACAGAAACCTTTGTTTGCAATTACAGAGATCATACGTTTCCTGTAGGTCTTGACCAGGTTTGCACACACTGCAGCAGGGATTTTGGCCCACTCCTCCATACAGACCTTCTCCAGATCCTTCAGGTTTCGGGGCTGTTGCTGGGCAATACGGACATTCAGCTCCCTCCAAAGATGTTCTATTGGGTTCAGGTCTGGAGACTGGCTAGGCCACTTCAGGACCTTGAGATGCTTCTAACGGAGCCTCTCCTTAGTTGCCCTGGCTGTGTGTTTCGGGTCGTTGTCATGCTGGAAGACCCAGCCACGACCCATCTTCAACGCTCTTACTGAGGGAAGGAGGTTGTTGGCCAAGATCTTGCGATACATGGCCCCATCCATCCTCCCCTCAATACGGTGCAGTCGTCCTGTCCCCTTTGCAGAAAAGCATCCCCAAAGAATGATGTTTCCACCTCCCATGCTTCACGGTTGGGATGGTGTTCTTGGGGTTGTACTCATCCTTCTTCTTCCTCCAAACACGGCGAGTGGAGTTTAGACCAAAAAGCTCTATTTTTGTCTCATCAGACCACATGACCTTCTCACATTCCTCCTCTGGATCATCCAGATGGTCATTGGCAAACTTCAGACGGGCTTGGACATGCGCTGGCTTGAGCAGGGGGACCTTGCGTGCACTGCAGGATTTTAATCCATGACGGTGTAGTGTGTTACTAATGGTTTTCTTTGAGACTGTGGTCCCAGCTCTCTTCAGGTCATTGACCAGATCTTGCCGTGTAGTGCTGGGCTGATCCCTCACCTTCCTCATGATCATTGATGCCCCACGAGGTGAGATCTTGCATGGAGCCCCAGACCGAGGGTGATTTGACCGTCATCTTGAACTACTTCCATTTTCTAATAATTGCACCAAGAGTTGTTGCCTTCTCACCAAACTGCTTGCCTATTGTCCTGTAGCCCATCCCAGCCTTGTGCAGGTCTACAATTGTATCCCTGATGTCCTTACACAGCTCTCTGGTCTTGGCCATTGTGGAGAGGTTGGAGTCTGTTTGATTGAGTGTGTGGACAGGTGTCTTTTATACAGGTAACTAGTTCAAACAGGTGAAGTTAATACAGGTAATGAGTGGAGAACAGGAGGGCTTCTTAAAGAAAAACTAACAGGTCTGTGAGAGCCGGAATTCTTACTGGTTGGTAGGTGATCAAATGCTTATGTCATGCAATAAAATGCAAATTAATTACTTAAAAATCATACAATGTGATTTTCTGGATATTTGTTTTAGATTCCGTCTCTCACAGTTGAAGTGTACCTACGATAAATATTACAGACCTCTACACGCTTTGTAAGTAGGAAAACCTGCAAAATCGGCAGTGTATCAAATACTTGTTCTCCCCACTGTACATACACTCATACAGACACACTGCAACACACATCCATATGCACACACAGTACATACATAGACTCTGGCACTGTCTTCTGCTCATAAGCACGGATAAACACATTCGCAGACACACAGACACATACCAAGCCATCCAAACATCCTTAAAGCACAGGTCTAAGCAGTCACACATCTACATTTACTCAAGCAATCATTGGTTGAGGAAGTTGACGTGGCGGAAGGCAAGGCAGGGTGTTAGAAAAGCTGTTATTTTTGTCCTCTCTGCTGTCAAATAAAGCATTGTAAATTCAAATGGCAGCGTCATAACCACAAACTACATGAGTTTGTGCTTTTTCTCACCCCTTCACCCAAACCAGTAACGTCCATGACACGCTCGTTCCCCCCTCAACCATAACAAAACCATTTAACCCCATTTTCCCCTCTTCTCCCCTCCCCTCCTCCTCCCCTCCGCCAGGCGGCCACCCACCGTACCCCCAGCACATCCAGCCTCAACTCCCTGGAGTCGTCCAACGACATCTGCAAGCTTACGGACAAGCAGCAGGCAGAGTACCGCGATGCCTACCGCGAGTACATCGCCCAGATGACCCAGCTGGACGTGGCCGGAGGTGGGGGAGAGAAGCCTGTCCAGCCCCACCCGGGCCAGTTCCTCCAAAGCCGGGATGCCAGAAACCCAGAGGAGAATGCCAAAGACGGGTCCGAGAAGGATGGCCGTAAGCCCTCTTTCCCTACTAAGAAAGGGGCTAAAGCCACGGACGTGGTTGACACTGATGCACCCCTGGACCCCATCAGCGAAGAGGACGAGAAGCTTGACGCCAGCGCATCCAAAGCAGGCGGTTCCAAGGTAAAGGGACCAGGGCCTCGCTACCACAAGGTGCCCAGTGAGGAGGAGGAGGAGGAGGAGGAGGAGGGGTCTGGGCCGGAGGAATCAGACAACACCCCTCTGCTCAAGGAAGGGGGTGCCCAAGCGCCCAGCAACATTGCCCTGAACAAGAAGGACTTGTCCGACTCGGGGGTGAGGTCTGACGAGAGCTTCTCGGACCACTCCCTGAGGGAAGTGTTAGTGGAAGCAGATGAGGAAGGGGTTAATAAACCCAACCTGATAGAGCTGGAACTGGAGGTTCTGGTCAAGAAGAGGGCCCTGCTGCCCAGCAGTCTGAGCGGCCTTCAGGATTCCACCATCACCCGCATGTCCATCTGCTCAGAGGCGTCCGAGGGCAGCCTGATGGCCTCCAGTCCTGATGAACCCTGGTTCACCTCCAGCTCCTCCGTGAGCAACCTCAACCGCGCCCCCAGCACCACCACGCTCAACAACAACAGCAACAGCAGCAACAACGCCGCAACCACCAACACTATCCAAGACTTAGAGAGCTCCACCCCAGTCCTCATCACCCCAGGCTCCAGCACCGACTCCACCTCCACCACGGGGCCCGTCCACAACCAGAACCTGAGTGGGATCATCCACAAGAGGGCCCTGGGGACCGGCGAGGCCCTCGCAGGCTGCACAGGGGCCCCTGACGCTATCGTCTTGGAGGACGAGAGAGAGAGTGTCCTGTGAGAGGGGCCCGGGCCTTTTTGGAGGAGGTACCGTAGATGTTTGATGTTGTGATGTGCTACTAAAAAATAAAAGCCTTTACGAATGTTACATTGATATGGATGCCAATACAAACAGGCCTATTAATATGTGATTTTTTAATTTGTATTATTGAATATTTAAAACATACAATCTACTTAATATATTTTGTGAAATCATTTGAAAATTGAATATATGTCAAATTGAAATGGCACTCTGTCATGTTCACTTTAGATGTTACTAAATAATGGTAGTGAATTGTTGGATAATGGTAGTGAATTATGGAGTTGTGTGTATGTCCGTATGAATGTGGTGATGGTGGTGACATTAGAGTACAGTAGTGTGTTGGTGCAATGTGTTCTGTACTTCGTGATAGGTTACTGAAATCTGAATTGGCTTTATGTGCTTGAAAATAAAATATGTTTTGCTAATTTCTAGTAATCAAGTACCAATTAAAAAAATGTCATGTTCAGAGTTAATTGATGTAATATGGCTGTGGATTGGTGTTGTACCATCTTTTTTTCCATGTGACTGAAAGATCTATTTGCCCAAGAATCTACTGATATTCTGTGCTGAAGAAAAAAAAAGCGATATCTTTAGTGTGAACGGTGGTGGTAAACCTGAGGTTCCCATGTACTACGGATGTCCATCCGAGGTTCTGAACCTTTTGCAGAGTGCAATGTGAAACCATGTATTTGTGAAACAATAAACATATTGTCTGAAGCATTTTTTACTTCCTGCATAAAGTATAACAGTTCATAACATGCTTCTGTCCCTTGAACTATACTTTTCCTATGAGCTCAAAATGTCATTATTTAAATGAATTTCCCATGCTCCCATATACACTTAACAAAATATAAACGCAACATGTAAAGTGTTGGTCCGATGTTTCATGAGCTCAAATAAAAGATCCCAGAAATTTTCGATATGCACAAAAAGCTTATTTCTCTCATATTTTGTGCACAAATTTGTTTACATCCCTGTTAGTGAGCATTTATCCTTTGCCAAGATTATCCATCCACCTGACAGGTGTGGCATATCAAGAAGCTGATTAAACAGCATGATCATTACACAGGTGAACCTTGTACTGGGGACAATAAAAGGCCACTCTAAAATGTGCAGTTTTGTCACAAAACACAATGCCACAGATGTACATCCAACCCCAACCAGCCTCACAACCGCAGGCCACGTGTATGGCGTTGTGTGGGCAAGTGGTTTGCTGACGTCAACATTGTGAACAGTGCACAATGGTGGCGGTGGGGTTATGGTATGGGCAGGCATAAGCTACGGACAACGAACACAATTGCATTTTATCAATGGCAATTTGAATGCACAGAGATACCATGATGAGATCCTGAGGACCATTGTGGTGCCATTCATCCGCCACCATCACCTCATGTTTCAGCATGATAATGCACGGCCCCATGTCGCAAGGATCAGTACACAATTCCTGGAAGCTGAAAATGTCCCAGTTCTTCCATGGCCTGCATACTCACCAGACATGTCACGGATTCAGCATGTTTGGGATGCTCTGGATTGACGTGTATGACAGCGTGTTCGAGTTCCTGCCAATATCCAGTAACTTCACACAGCCATTGAAGAGCAGTTGGACAACGTTCCACAGGCCACTATCAACAGTCTGATCAACTCTATGTGAAGGAGATGTATCACGCTGGTTTTCTGATCCACGCCCCTACCTTTTTTTAAAGGTATTTGTGATCAGATGCATATCTGTATTCCCAGTCATTTGAAAACCATAGATTAGGGCCTAATTAATTTTTCAATTGACCGATTTCTTTGAAATTGTTGCATGTTGCGTCTAGTTTTGTTCAGTATAGAATGGGTTAACACGCAATTGTATTAGCTGGTGTCAGCGCAGTACTTTATTTTCACCAGTAGGTGGCAGACTTCCCATAGAAACCCTCTAGCCTGGATCACTAAACCGTGGGCATGAACTTTCACTTGTGGGAAAAGCTGATTTGAAGGCCAAGTTAGTTGCTATGTCACAATATACATATGCAATGTAATTATATTTTAGCCTATTATATGCCCTTTGTATGTTGGGCATACTTAATTATAGGCTCAATTAAGAGTGTACCATTAAGGAACTTGAGCTTTACAATGAGACTAATGTGGGAAAATGGTGAACCTGAGCTTTTTCTACCTGTACAAGTGAAACAATGCTCCAAATGCAATAGTTTAGGCTTGCATGGTAAACGGTTAATCCAGTCCAATTGAAGGGAAATTAAGTGGTTTGCGGTGTGCATGGACCAGTGTCCAGGTAGTTCAGTGTACAGTTGTAACTTCACGGTCAGACAAACTAATGTGTCGTTGCCTAATCTTTTCACACATTGTCATAAAAACTGACAACACCCGGAGATCTATGAAATGGCTCATCGTTTCTTTTCTACAAAATAGTCTGTTCGTCTGTTCAACACTGACAGGCTATTTAAAATGACATTGTTTTGTGAAGTGTTTCTTTTTAGAGGTTAGCAGCATCGTGAGAAGCAGATGAATGCAGAATTATTCTCAGGTGAGATAATTGCATTTCAATGGCCCAGTGTCCTATACACCCTGGGAATATATCCCTGTAGTGAATGTTTGAGGTAGAATTATGTCTCAATTCCTGAACACTGTCAAGATGAGGAAGGTAAACTAGGCTCCTGCTGTGCGTGAACTGTAAAAGACTCGCGTAGTCAGTAAGAATTGTATAGCTTGTCCATTGCGCCCCTAAGAAATTACTCAATGTATCATCATTCTTTACATCAACTCATTCAGTTGACAACTGTTATAAAAGACTGACATTACCACTGAATGGGCCCGTTAACGCGCTGGAATTGAAACTCGTGACAACCTAGCATTGCAGAACCATTTTACCTTTTGCAAACTCAGTCAGATCTCAGTCTGTCATCTAAGCTACATCTAAATTCCCATACAGCAGGAAGACATGCTCAAATAATGCATTTGGTTTATTTTTTGTATAAAAAAGGTACAATTTACATGATTACTTTTATAAAAAGTTTCAGCATAATTAAGTACAGCATTACACTTTTGCAGAAATGTGCAATTCCTTTAACTATACAAGATAAAACTCCGATCGAGTTCACAAGGTTTCACTTGTTCATTTCATTTTTTACAATGTCCAGTCCTTCATGTGCCAAGAAGAGTAACAATTCTGACAAGACAGACTACATTTTATACATTAACTAACCAAGGTGTCTTCTATTCACGAGCCAACTCCGCAACAACAAAAAAAGCGCAGACTTCAAGCGGGATAAGGGGAAATCCTTGTGACAATAATCTCTCATTTGTTTTTCTCCCAGTGTCGGGAAGATAGCGCGCCTTCCATTTCAAGAAAGGACAAAAAAAAAAGTATTAAATTAAATATGAGTGTCCGAACTGAAAACACATCACATAGATTGTCCTTTAAGCAAAGTCTTTTGATTAAATTAAAGAAAATCCAGAACCCGAGGACAAAAATAGAGGGGAAAAAGCCCGGTTCCGAGGTCCTGTGTGTGTTGTGTCTTAACCAAACACCTGCAAAAGATTGAGAAAGAGAAGCGTGTTTAGAAAATGCAAACAGAGCAGATATCCGGACAGACTGGCGCCAGGGAGGAAGCCGCAGTATTAACATTTAACCAAACACTCAAATACTGAGCAAACCGTTGGCTCCAGATGTAGCCTACACACAGCACAGACAGACACTAGCGCAGCATAAGGCACTTTCGCACACAACTTCAGCCTACAATCTGGGAGAGAATCAGACGTAATTGCAGTTCAGCTGGCGCCTAGCCTCGGATTGCACTAATTATGTGCAGACATCTAGTAGTAATCTAAACAACCATTTATTTTATATTACAGATGCTCTGCATTGGAGACAGCGTCGCTGCAGCTGTGCTATTACGACGTTATAACAAATAATTGCCTATACTGTTTAAACATATGTTTGCAATGCATTTCGTTTGTTTATTGAACCATTAATGAGAAGGATTATAGTGTCAGAAATACACACTGCCGTTCATTTTCTTTCTATTCTGACACAACAGGCTGTAGTAGGCTAATAGACGAGCAAATCCCGGACATAATATTGCAGACGGGATAGAAGCGTACTTACCGCTTTAACGATGAAGAGTCCTGCTGTCATCCGTTATCAGGTCTGATGGGAACTCCGGCGACTGAAAAACAAACCTTCATTAGCACTGCCGCAGTCAAATAGGCCTACGTTGAATTATTAATGAGTGTACACAAAAGTCCTACCCTCTCAATCTTGATAATGGATAACATACCTTTTGTAACCAAATGGTGTAATTTCACAATAGACCACAATTACGCATAGAAAACGCACTCAAACGTTCACACCATTAGCAAAATCGACCCAACCAAATGTAGCCTACGTCTTTGTTTATATTCTTTGGATATTTCAGACAATAGTAGAACGGCCCATCCTAACCTGTAATGACAAGATGCTGATATCTGTATTGAGAGTTGTTAGGGGAGTCCTGGGTGTCGCTTGCCCCGGTCGCGGGTGATGGAGGCTCGTTATTGTGACATTGGAGTCAAGTGCGATCTGCAGGTCCAGAATATAGTCGATGACATGCTGCAGGATTTCCATCTTGCTCACGTTCTTGTTCTGAGGGATGCTGGGCACCAGCTCCTTCAGCTTGGAGTAGCAGTCGTTCATGTTGTAAAGCAGGCTTAAAGGATCATCCACGGGAGTCTTGCTCCGAGAGATTCCCAGACTGTGTTCAGACAGATTCGCGCTGTTTTTCCGGAAAGACCTTACTGGGCTTATCGCTTTCATATTGACACTTCGTGTGAGACGTTCAGTGCTTTCGTTGTGATGTTGGTTTTAGTATTCTTTCTATTCCTTTGCAGATGGTCGGTGAGCGAACGGACTGGTTTAACAAGCTGTCATTGTAGTTTATATAGCCAGCAGGCTGGGTTTGCTACGCAGGGGTTTTGTTGGTGCTGATTGGATGGGTAGG